GTGCACCACTCTGGTCCAAACATCGAAATAACTGACACATGGATAATATCTGGAGGATTAATGACCTGCCCCTCTGTTGCCACCATGAGGTTTGCATTTAAGATTTGAATAAGGTGCCTCCACAACTATTTGATATACTGCCATGAAGTTTGGTACAAGTCATGTCTTGCTTAGGCTAAACAACACAAAAACATAATCCCTTCAGTCTACTGCTGTTATCAGGTCTTTTTTTTTTTTTCATTTGCAGGTTTTTGTCCAAATACCTGCTGCTAAACGTCAGCATGACTGTTGGCCTGTTACCATTCATCTCAAAGCCCTGGTATGCCCAAGAATCATTTTGTACAAGCAAAGAAGGAATTCATGCAGTTTTTGTGATCGTGTTAAAAATCCTTTTATTCAGTCCCTCCAAGGAGAACTTCATGTTGCTGCACTCCTTTGTTCGCATAAAACATGCAGCAAAAAGTTGTGTGAGAAATGAAAAAAGGAAGTGAGAAGCTCATACCCAGCGTGCTTTCACACCTCTGCACCGCTGGTGGATCATTGCATGAAGTGGGTGAAAATGTAGATCGTTGGTTTCACAAAGATAAAGAAATGGGATTGTAATCTGAAAACAGAAACGCAAAGGGGGAAGGGGTTCTTTGAATCTATTCTACCAACCGTAAAGCTGCTACTTATGATGTATGCTGGCCTCTTAAGTACAGTTTGCTGCTGAGTCCATATGTGCTTAGTCTAGTTCATACTAAACTTTTGCTTTATTTCAAAAGAGTCTCAAACAAACAGGTCATGTATTTGGACAACTGAAATTACGACACTGTACTAAAAAGTAAAACCAAAATGAAACACACCAACATTCAGATAAAGTCTGTAGAGGAAATGTTTATTAATGACACATGGAATTTGCATTTCCTGATTCTAAAACCATCTTCTTTAAACGGTTTGTGTCTTCAACTGAGATTCTTATCAGGCACAGGATGACTAATGCTCAGCAGATGGTGTGAGATACGAAAGGTCAGTGTGATGAACGTTCGGTGGAAAGACACTAAATGTTTCCATATGTTGCAAACACATAAGACAACAGCAATTTAATAAAGTGCTCATTCTAATAAATGTCAAAATACTTTAGCAGCACACTGACAGAACATTTTAAGAATGAAAATTCATTTGCAACCTTGGAAAGAGAAGTTTGACAAGACATTTCTGTCATCTTAAACGTGCATTAATGGATTTTTTTAATCCACTTTTGGGCTGCACAACAAACTAAAAGCACAACATGGAGAAATTATTAACATAAAAACTTGATTTCTAGGTACCTATTATGTTAATCAGCAAAAACAGAACAAGCTTAATCAGAAGTCTGAATCTTTTTATTGAGACTTTTATTGAGACCCCCCCCCCACAATATTTGGATACTCATCATTAATTGGGCCCAAATATCCAGAAACCAGACAGTGCTATTCGGACCAGCCCTAGTTTGTCATGTATCAATGACGTGTAGGTCGGATAAATGCGACTTGGCCGTTCAGACAGAAGTCACATGGCAAAAGATCAGATAGCTATCGGATTTAGGACCACATGTCCAAGTGGACTGGGTCGCATTTGAAAAAATCGGATCGGTTTTGTTCTGTCTTGTCATGAAAAGATCAGATGCAGGTCGCATGGGCCAAAAAATTTGGGTCACTTTAGCCCGCTGTCTGAACGTAGCCTTAGTGTGACGGCCAAAAGGTTACATCTTCGTCTCATCAGACCGAAGAACCTTCTTTTTAGTTGACTTCAGAGTCTCCCACATGCTTCCTGGTGATCTCTAGGTGAGATTATTTCTAACGTTTTTTTTTAAGCAGTGACTTTTTCTTTGCCACTCTCCCATAAAGCTTTGACTGGTGAAGAACCCGGGAAACAGTTGTTGCATGTGCAATCTCTCCCATCTCTGGCACGGATGCTCCCTCACTCGTCTGTTTCTTGGACTTGGTTTTTGAGGACAGCCTGCTCCTGCTGCATGTGCCATATTCCTTAAATTTCATAATGATGGTTTAACTGCACTCCAAGGGATATTCGATGACTTGGATATTTTCTTCGCTTATCCTCTGACTTTGGCTGGCTCTTCAATAACCTTTACATGGAGTTTGTTAAAATTGTTTTCATGGTGTAGTTATGTGCAAGAATTCTGGACCTTCCAAATACAAGTGCTGTTATATTACGATCACTGAGACACATTCACTGCACTCAGATGTCCTCTGTTTCGTTAAGTAGCCTACAGTGGATTTGAAAACTTTTTTTTTTTTTTAAACAAGTGAAAACAGTTGCCTGCATCTGGAAAGGACACTGATGAGAGCGGTGGGAGCAACCAAAGCATGAGCAACCCCTTTGACAATACACATAGTCATCTGACCTACTGCGAATATAAAATGTAGATTAAATCAACTCTAAAGTCGTGTGTTTACTCTCTTCCCTGGAAATAGCAATCTGGCAAATAATTTCTCACTCAAGGATAACTTACCACTGTTGCTTTGTCCGTGATAATTGAGTGAATTCCATCCATAGCACCGCTTTTCTCCAGCGTTTAAGGACTTGCACTGTTTGATAATGAGTCTTTAACATCCGCTTCATGCTTAATGACACTGTAATTTTCTCTCCACAGGTGCCTGAGATAGACTCATAGTTCGGTGTGTTTTCTAAACTGTAACATTACACTGACTCTGCTTGAGGGATCAGCACAGATATGCAGCACAGACAAACTGCACATTATTAGAGAGGAAGCATTCCTCAGATTGCTGGTGGATCTGGCAACCTGGCTGCTTGGCACGTCCGTCCCCTGCATGTGTGTGTGTGTGTGTAGCTGGCAGCACTACACACACTCCAATGTCACGGTCTTTTCAACATCTGTCCACTTGGAGATTGACCCACCAGGCCTCCACACAGAGGAACTCAAGGCTGTCCAGCAAAGAAGACTGCTGCTTTTATGTGCAACTGCTGAAATGTGCTGATTTATCACGTGCAATGCATTACAAATGTTGTATTGTAGCATAAAGACTAATACTGCATTAAGTGTCCTCTCAGGAAAACTAGTTTTTCTGGGTATTGGCTCTCATTTACCGTGACCTACATTTTTATGGGCTTTAAAACAGTAATTTGGTGTGACTCTCTAAAATTATGCACAAACATAAATAGAGGCAGATGAGAAATGAAAGGAAAAGCTCCAGACTAAATTAATGGCAAGCATTACAGACAAATGCCTCCATTGAAGGCACAGTTGCCACATTCAGGCATTGACCTTCACAGTTGTCAGATGTGATTTAACACCTAATGGACGTGTCGTTAGACAGCACTCTATCCAACAATGGATGGGGGAATACCTTTTGAAAGAATGCTTTTCATCCCTCCAGACTGATGGAAACCAAGGGACTAGTGAGAGATTCAAAAGAGCTTTACTGGCATTGTCTCTGACAATAAAATTGCAGGTGTATCTTCAATTAGGTGCCAAGTCATTTAGGATTGAGTCTGAGTCACCGGAAGCAGGCTGCAGGTATAAACTTGCCACTCCAGGTGTCTCTCTCCTCCGCGAGTGTTACTTTCCATCGCATACATCCATCACATGAGCAACCTGCACACTGACATTTCAAGTTGAAGATGATGATAAAGTTAGCCATCCTTCAGATCTCTGCGTTCTCTAGGTTAAACTGCAACAGCCGCCTTAATACATCTTTGGACGGGATAACTTTGTTTCCAGACGTAAATATAATAAATAATTAGATTTAATATAATCATACATTTCATAGAAACAAATCAATGCCTTACATGCCTCAAAATCAAAATCTTACAGTTAGCGTATCTGTCTATTAAATCTGATTTTCTGACAGTTGAAGAACCTAAAAGATTTGTGAACACACCTTGGAATATCTTCCAACTCTGGAAGCAGCATGTGCCGTTGACTTTGACCAACATACTGAGCTATTTCACTTGACAAGCTTCTGTGACGGTGGTTTAAAAAGGTTCTGCAGGAGCCACAAACGGCTTCCAAGTCGTCAGTGGTGTAAATGGGTCCAATGAGCTCCTCCAGAGGCAGGTTGGGACTATCAGTAAAAGTCCTACCACAAAGATGTCTTTCACTGGTTTGTGTGGTGTTTTCTTTTACAGGGAATTAGCCACTGTAATAACAATGTTTTATTCTCTGCATCTGAAACCAAAAAAAAAAACTTTGCCCTCCATCATTACTTTACACACAAACATCCTTTTCTTCGCTCTGCCAAAGACTATTGTGATTGATTTCAAGAAACTGAAAGAAGCTTCTCAAGGCTACACAATGGCAGGTTGTAAAACTGGAGTAATTCAGCCATGCATGTACCAACTGGAAACAGACTCTGAAGTAGAAGAATGATACATAAGCGCTATGAGATGACTTGTTGTTGTAAATATGGGCTATACAAATAAAACTGAATTGAATTGAATTGAAATTGAATACAGAAAGCTTCACCGAGCAGACTGACTGGATTGGTTCTTTAGCTTTGTTACATATGAAGCCCCAGAAGTCTGAATCTGTGTTTTTGAGATCTGTACACTGCAGATTAAATGTAGAAATGAGGTGTTGTATATGGTTGGGAGTAGGAAGCTGTTCTCAGCCTGACTGTTTATGTGGTGAACCAACATGTCGGATTTCTCTTAAACCAGGGGTGTCCAATCCTGGTCCTCGCCGGCCACAGTCCTGCATGTTTTAGATGTGTCCCTCTTCCAACACACATGATTCAAATGATCAGCTCATCGTCAAGCTCTGCAGAAGCCTGATGACGATCATTTGAATCAGGTGTGTTGGAAGAGGGACACATCTAAAACATGCAGGACTGTGGCCCTCCAGGACCAGGATTGGACACCCTACAGAGCTGATCCCATTGATGGCATCTTTACACAAGACCAAGTCATAAAAAATTAACAATAATATTCCTGAAACAACAACAAAGAAAACAGCTAATTTCAGATATTTAGTTTAGTTTTATTGGATTTTCTTCTCATGTCCAGTTTTTATTACAAGACAGCTGCAGTTCATCACAGAATCACAGGTTATCTGACAGAACCTTCTCCTCCATGCCTGATAAAGAAAATAATACACTGACACAAAATCATTTACAGAAACAAAAAGAGAAAGTCTGTGTCTGGGCTGCTGTGTGTTACTTTCCCCGCAGACCCGGCTGCCTCTGCCCTGGTTAACTCCGCCCACACGGAGCGCGCTGTGGCCGGCCACTGGAGCCGGAGCGGCCCGCCTCCTGCCGGAGTTTATAAGTTCACCGTGGAACAGCTGCGGGTCTCAGAGACGGAGGTCAACCACCGAGAGGAGGAGCACAGGCCGGCTGCACCGTGGACATGTTGTAATCCGGACTTTTTTTCCCACTCTCTGTCCATGAACGAGGCTGCAAAACCCTCCGCACAGTCACCATGTGGAAACCCGTCGGAGGAGCGAGGAACGCCGTCAGCTCTGCGGGGCCTCACGCTGCCGCCGCCGCGGTCACCTGCCTGCTGGTGACCGGGATGCTGGTGGTCAGCTGCGGACACCCGAGCGGCGCAGACCCGGAGGCAGGGACGAGCGCAAAAGTCTTCTCGACGTATTTCAAGAAACTGACCCGGGAGAGGAGGGCGATCCCCCCGCGGAGCAGCGCTGCCCCCGGACCGCTGGAGCATCTCTCTCCGGATGACCTGTTCATCGCGGTGAAGACCACCGGGAGGTACCACCGGCAGAGGCTGGAGCTGCTGCTGGACACCTGGATCTCCAGAAACAAGCCACAGGTGAGTCCGATTACAGATCACCTGACACCTGGAGACAGAGTGTCCTGAAATCATAAAGCCTAGGAATGAGTTTTTATCCTTATAATAAGAGGACCAGCTGCTGGTTCAGTGTCAGGACACATGAGACCAAGTCACTGCAGGCAGCACTTGTTCCTGAAGGGAAAGTTTCTGTTCTGCCCTTTCATGTCAGGTCACTGCTGATGATTTATGATCAGAGCTCAGACAATGCACATGATCTCATGCATGAGGGAAGTTGTATCCTAAATGTTTCCCTCAGCTCCTCCTCCTGCTGCTGCTGCAAGTTCTAAAGCCTTTGAAAGTGGACGGGGTTCACTGCCTCTTTGATCCAGCCACCCAGTGAATTGTAAAGCAGAGATGGAGGCCTTTGTAATGTATGACATGGAGATGTGAGGGCTGACAGGCCGAGCACGCTGCTGTTAGTGTGTTGACACAGAGCAAACCGAGGAAAACCTGCACTGTTGAACAACCCACATCAAGTGGGCTCTGTGAGATGCTCATTTCATTCATTACTGCAGGTACAACAGAGTTAAATAACAGCTCTGGCAGAACAACTGTTCAGCTCAAGGCCAAGTTCAGTTGTGCATTTTCAGAAGTCGCTCCAAACTGCACTCAGAGCTGACACATCTGGGCTTTTGAACTGAGAAGACTGTGTGTTGGGTGACAAATAAAAAAGAACAGTATTATTAATAGGATGGTTTCAGTTTTTCTAAGCACAGTTTAGTTTTTTTTTTTTTTTAACACTAGTAGATTTCCCTGATAGTGGAAGTAAGCTTGAAGATTTTTCATGCAAAACACCGTCTGAGATGGGAATAGTTCAGATTAAGCTCCGACTGGGTCACATTTAAAATGCTGCTTACAAATGAATACTAACGCCAACAGATTAATTAAACACCGACCTGTTCTTCTGACTGTCACCGATGATCCCTTTAATAGCACTGAAGCAGTCGTGGTTCAGTATTTCTCTCTTGTACTGTTACTGTTGCTGCAGCCAACAATGATTTTCACTTTTGATTAGTTTACCAGAGATTTGCTCAGTTCATCAAATGCAATACTGGAAAAAATGAATCGAAGGCTACAAGGTGATGTCTTCATTCATTCATTCATTCATTCATTCATTCATTCATTCATTCAGTCATTCAACCCTGACTCAGAATACACTGAGGTATATTATTTACAATAGAGCAGCAGAGTTTCTTTTATTTTTTTATCTGACCAACATCACAGTCAATTTCCATACGAATAACAGTGATTTATGTCCTAATTATCTTATTCTGTTCATTCTGTGCCTGTATTAGTCTTAGCTTATTGGTATCAGTGCCTTTGAAGACCAGCTTTTGCTGCAAATCCAACAAATCGCCTGAGCTGAATATTAGAAGTTAAGGTCCTACAGATGAACCACATCAGAGGAAGAGCCTGGAAACAGTGGAACATGACGGGGAACAGGGTTCTCACGAGTCTTTGTGACTCAATAATTGCCATCAGGTGGTTGTATGATAAGTTTGACTGGCTGAATCAAAGAAGAGCAAGAAAACTAAATAATTTTATTTTTTCCCCATATTTTCAAAAAAAAAAAAATCAGAGAGAGAAAGACTACAAACAGTTAAATAGATAATCAAATTTCTTGCCAATAAATTACAGAATAATCATTATCACAGTCCTAAATCTGAATGAAAAACAGGCTTTTTTTAGGTGCAGGATTAAAACATTAGTCCTGTGATCTGAAGGACTCATAACATGACTGCTGGAGTTAAAAGGGAGAGGCTGGTACAGCGGGAGTCTCTGCGTCTCACAGATAAATATTGGAGATCAAACAGGACGGACAGACAGATTTTTGGTCTGAACCGCCGTGGTGAGTGAGTCAAAGACGAATCTGTTGCTGTAAAACACATGGGACGGTGGTGAACTGCACCCAGCGGCTTCAAAGCCCCTAATCAAAGGCAGACGGGGCTGCGGATCGCGCGGCGGTCGCTCTGATTCCAGCTCAAACCTCAGCGTTCAAGGACGAGCTCCTCCGAGTCATCTCCTGCTGCAGCCAGACTGTTGACATGTAAATACGGTTGATGTGGGGGGGAATCAGCTGCTGCGTGTGACGCATTCCTGCGTGTGCTCTCACGGTCAGGTGTTGTAACTCTACCTGTTTCCCAGACACACCTCTGTACCGTGAGACTGCTGAGTAATCGAAATGCAGCAACACACACACACACACACAGTGCTACCTTCACAGTAAACACACAAGCACCCTGGGAACTGACTGGATTTCTCATGGGAAGTTAAAAATGTGTCTGATCACAAGAGCAAACACACACACACCATCTCACACGCGTCACTTTCTCCTGTCTTCATGGTTGCTGCTGTTTCCTGTGTTGTAAAGCTCAACTCCTGGCGACCCCCCCTCGCTCCCCTCAAACCCACATTTTCCCTCCTTCCCTTCTCCTCCCCCTCCTCCTTCCCAGTTCGGCTCAAACACACACTTATTTGACACACACACACACACACACACACTCTCTCACACACGTACTGATGCAGAAGCTGACTCCTCTCGAGGGGCTTAAGAGGCTCAGAGTGGAAAAAAAAAAGTCTGACAAAAACTCACAGCTGGCCGGACTCTCTCCGTCTCTTTTTTTTTCTCTCTCTCTCTCTACCACAGGCAGTGATGTGATCACACAGTACTTCAACCAAAGATTTATGATTGAATTTGTGCTGCATGGCAGTCGGGTTGCAAAGTGGAATCCCTCTGAGCCTGATCTTTTCACCGGGGCAGCGCCTACGGTGAAGTCAGAGAGTATTTTTGCAGCGTCGTCCCTGTATCCCAGAACATAAGATATGGATCCAAACAGCAGCTCTGAGGTTAACGTGCTGCCCTTTGCCGTTCGTTCGAGGGCGTTTGCAACCACATCAGAAATCTGAACTGGAGTTTTTTTAGGGACTGAAACTAAATACACAACCTAGCATGAACTTATTAAGGCATTGTTTTGATTGTTTGGCCTTGGCGGTCTGTCAGTGTCTGAAGGCTAAAATGCACAAACACAAGCAGACTGTGGGCATCTGTCTTGCTGATGTTCTGCCAGGCCTGTGCTGCAGCAGCTTATTAAGTATTGATCCGTTCATTTGCAAGGTCAGGAAACCTCTCAGCATCTGCGTAGAGAAGTAAAAGTTTTATAGACTCCAAGGACGCATAGAGCCATTATTTTAACAGCACTTAAACGACTGCGCGCTCTTGTAAAACGGGCCCTTGACACTGTAGCTGTTGAAGTGCAGCTGAAGCCACTGCTGTACTTCACTGCGCAAACTATTTGGGCACTTTAGATGTGAAGCTCTTCCCCGTGAACATCAGGGAGGCATCTGGTTGGTCTGAATCCATTAACACGTGCAGCATGACGATGAGCTTAGTCATACAGCCAGAGTCATAGAGAACTTACTTCTGTGACAAGGACAACCAGGAGTTCTGCAGCAGATGCTTCGGCCTGCACAAGACAGGATTTCAACATTCTGGGATTATACAAAGTAACTGAGGCTACATCCACACGAACACATCGCTGCTTTGAAACGCAGAACTTGGTCTACGTTCATACTGCTCTGTGGTTTTAGTTTGAAAATTATGAGGTTGTGTTTTAGTCTGGATGGTCTGGATAAGTTGACACTTTTGGAAATGTTTCCACAGATAGCCATATTCACTCTCTGATTGGATCTTAACCAACATGCTCTCTGATTGGTCAGTCTTGAAGATGCCACTGGTTAGTTCAACCTGGATAACAAATTACAGTCGATGCTAGCAGCTAGGGATCAGCTGATGTGATCTTTACAGGGCTAACACAGATATTGATTTTTAGTAAACATGGATGATCGATGCATGGAACTGGTGTGTATACACTTTGTTGAAATGCTTTACTTTATGTATGTTTTACTTGTTAACTTAAAAGACAGCTTCTCAACAATCATCCTTCAATGCTGATTGGCTATTACTCTGTGGATCAAGTGCTAGAGCGGTTGTCCTCTAATCAAAGTGTCCTTGGGCAAGACACTGAACCTGAAGTTGCTCCCAATGGCAGGCAGCACCTTGCGTGGCAGCTCTCTCGGCGTTGGTGTGTGATTGTTTATCTACTCTCAGATGTACGAGACTTTGGATAAAAGCATCTGCTAAATAAAACTGTAATCTGTACTCGTGACATGTAACCAATCAGACACAGCTGTAGGCAGAACACTGCTTGAGACCTCAGAGTGACTACAAATAGAGAGAGGCAGCTACACTGGAGCCAAAGTAAGGCATTTTGGAATCAATTTATTTTAGCAGGAATCCTGTTTAAAAGAAGAAAAAAAACAAAACAGAATCGGATAATCTGAGCACTGCTACAAGCAGCTATTGTGTATATATAAGGAACCGTCTGTTCTTAGTTAATACCAGTTCTTAGTCCATATCATGCTCTGCTTCAGGCTTGGTGTTTTAATGTGTGTTTTTTCAGGAGTAGACATGGAGATTATTTTTCGAAACGGTCCTTTAAAAAGTTCATTGGGTGGTTGATGGTTTTTGTGTTGAAGTTTTTTCATGTATTTAAGTGTCCTGAGGCTAGACGCTGAGCCAGACTTTGCTCCTGATAGCAGATGAGCTCCTTCACCATTGAAGTGTATGAATGGGTTGACGGAGAACACACTGTTAAGTGCTTTGCAGAATGTAGCTAAGGTTAGATGGCATTACCTAAGTGTGAATCATTCATCAGGACATCTTTTCCTTCACTTTAATCCTTAGCAGTCCAGTACCTCTCAGCTGTAGAGAGGAAATATGACAGATTCTTACCATAAAACGGTTTGAATACTTTGTTTAAGGTCATTGTCCTGCTGCATTATCCAACAGTTAAACACTGGTGTACAGAAAGCCTGTCATTGTTCACCCAATGTGGCCGTAAACAGGCTCAAAACAAAGCTGAGAATCAGCACATCGAGCTCACTGTCATTGTGTCATTTCAAACCTATTGTCCTTTAATACTGAGCCACAACAACAGACTATTTACAGACAGCTCTGCATGTGCACCCAGGGTGTATGTTTACTTCCTGTGGAAAAATATGGAGTCTGCACGGCTTCCTGAGTGCATAGTGACCCTCAACCCTGTCACTCATCACTCACACACACACACACACACACACACACACACACACACAGAGCGACAGGGCTGTGGGCAGCTGCTGTGCCGCTGATAGACAGGAGGCTTTACCTTCGGCTTGGCCTTCATCCACTGTCAGCATCGGTTGCTTTGTGCAAACAGGAGGAGTCTCACCTGAAATCACAAACGGTGAACAATGACGGTGGAGCCGTGAGAGCGTCTCTACGATGGTGTGTTTTGTGTTTTGTGTTTTTTTTTCTCCTGCTGGTCAGTGAAGGCTGCTGAAATAATACGAACTGTGTGGTGTTTCTTTTTCCACAGACGTACGTTTTCACTGATGGAGAGGACGAGGAGCTGAGGAAGAGGATGGGTGAGCTACACACACACACACACACACACACACACACACACAGAGAGAGAGACACACACACTCTGTTTTGCTGAGTAGCAGCGCTGTGAGAGGCAGGAAAGCAGGAACCAGGCTGCTGACTGGGCAATACTATGTTTCCATGAAGTGCAGGAAGCCACTTCGGTGTAATCAACAGGCCTTTCCTCTTCTTACTCATGGAATTGTTCTAATTTCAATGAAGTATTCTTCTCATTATCAAGAACTTTGAATGACTCAGTGCAAAAAAAAAGAAAAGAAAGTGTAATTAAGATATTTATGAGGGTGTTTTCCCACAGTGAGGATATAATGTCATCAAATATTCAAGCCGCTTTCCTGCTTCTGAAACAACCATTTAGTCAAGGCTGCCTCTTCAAGTACACACGTTTCTTTACTCATTCTTTGAAGATTGGTTATTTATTTCTGCTTGTTGCTCATCAGGTGCTCACCTGATCAACACCAACTGCTCGGCGGCTCACAACCGTCAGGCCCTCTCCTGCAAAATGGCTCTGGAGTACGACACTTTCATCAGCTCTGGAAAGAAGTAAGACGCCCTCCACACACACACACACACACACACACTGCACCACATGAAGACATGCAGACAGAGCTGTTCACTGACTGTCGGTGTCATGTGTTGCAGGTGGTTCTGCCATGTTGACGATGATAACTACCTGAACAGCGGCGCCCTCCTGAAGCTCCTGTCTCAGTACAGCCACGCGCAGGATGTTTACATAGGGCGGCCCAGCCTGGAGCGTCCCATCGAGGCCACGGAGACGCTCGACACCAATGAAATGGTAATTTGGCAGGATTTTCCAACAGGAGCTTGAATTGAAGCCAGAGTACTGTATGCTTCAGTCATGTAGCAATGCAGGTAGACTTGACCCATAACTAAAATAGGATATATCCGTCGAGACATAAGTGGAAACTAAAACTTCTTAAAACACTTCTTAAGAAATATCAGCTCTGGTTTTCTCCTCCGACAGCAGATGTGTGACACAATATTGATACATGAACATATTGTTTTTCTTCCTCTTGTGACACATAATTAATACGCTGGTGTTTTTATTGAAGCATCAAGGTGCTCTGACTAGTTTGACTTACCGGAGTCTCAACTTCCTGACTGCGGTGCTGATTCTTATCTAATGAATCAGGGGGGAAGTGAACAGAAGATAACTAACCTGCAGTGAAGAAGAAGAAGAAGCTTACGGGGGGTAAAGTGGCAGATAGTGCAGTGCAATTAACTTCCCTGAGCCCTGAGCAGTTTCTGGGTGTTTCTTGCTCCTCTTACAGTTTTCATTCACAGTGGGCTCATTTTTCACTGCAATATGAAGTCCGGCATCTCTGTGAAAACGGCACAGCCACGGCTAGAACTAAAGGGAACTCAAACATGTCTTGTGTGATGTGACAAAGCAATAATGGCATAAATCAGAAAAACTGAAAGAAAGCTGAGCTATTTATTTAATACAAATTGATAGAAAAAAATTGGAATCAACATTTACAACAATTTCCACAGATGTTACCAACACTGGGAACAGAATGGTGACTCTGCACACTGTGGATGTTTTACTTCTTTCATTTTGTTTATTTGGTTTCATACTAGAGTCTGTAGTAGTTCAGCCAAAAAGTCCCTTTTTTTTTGGTCATATGACTATTGGTTGCAGCTGAGCTATTAATGACTTTATGGTTGTGCCCTGAAGTGCAGTTTTGTTTTTTGCTTTTTTTGTAACAGAATCTTTTTAGTGCAGACGGTATGTTTTTCATTACTTTTAAAATCAAGTGATTTTTGATAAAGTTATACTATTTTGAGCTTAAATTGGATTAAGTTATTATCAGAAAAGCACGTCACAGTTGAAAGCTTGAAGTCCAAACATGTTTCTGTCTGATAAATGGTATCATTTTGTTTATTTTTTTAAAAGATAAATTTCTAATCTGCCGCCTGGTTCGGGAGTTCAGAGGGTTACATGAATTGTCCCATTATTAAAATAGAACAATAACACAGTATAGACACCGATGCCACCATGCAGGGAATAAATACATAAGTCCTGCTTTTTTACTTTTTTGGGGTATTTTTTTCTTGTTCGGTTACACAGATGTTGGAATGTATCACAGATGATTGTCTTTTCATGCATCAAGTAGAGCAACATTGCTGTGCTGTGACGCCATCATTATAACAGGCGTCATTATAGTATCATAGCATGAGTCGCTCTGGGATTCCCACCACGAATTCACAGTATACAGGCTTGTCTGTCTTACTGAGAGCACTGATTGTGAGGCTGATACACAGGATTCACTTTCACATGCGTGTGTGTTTCAGAAGCAGGTGCGCTTCTGGTTCGCCACAGGAGGAGCAGGGTTCTGCCTGAGCCGCGGCCTCGCTCTCAAGATGAAGCCCTGGGCGAGGTAAGCCCTCACATAGATTAATTACAAGATGTTGTTGGCACCGTTTCAGCTGCGGCATTAAACCTCCTCCTCCTCCTGCCCTCTGCCTCCTCCCCATCTAGCGGTGGCACTTTCATGGCCACGGCCGAGCACATCCGCCTCCCCGACGACTGCACCGTCGGTTACATCGTGGAGGCTCTGCTCGGCGCCAGCCTCATCCGCTCGCCTCTGTTCCACTCCCACCTGGAGAACCTGGGGCTGGTGTCGGACGTACACAACCAGGTACACACAGACCTGCTGTAACACTGAAAACATACAGATCTCTGCCGCTGCTATCTGAACAATGTCACACTTTTTTGCTGTTCTCCCATCAGGTCACGCTCAGCTACGGCACAGTGGACAACAGCAGGAACAATGTCAACGTGAAGGGACCGTTCTCCATACGTGACGATCCCACCAGGTGAAAGATCTGTTCATTTTGTCTCTTCAATATTCTGGGTAGAAAAGCAAAATATCAAACCAGTCAAACGGAGAAGCCTAGAATGGTTTTTGATTGGATAACGAGCTAAGTTGCTTTTCAAATGTCCCACTGCTGAGTAACTTAATGAATTAATGGCTCCGGCTCTTCCTCATGATCAGCCTCCAATATGTCCAACGTTTAATTTTTTCTTTAAATAGACTGACACGAAATACATCTTTGGTGCAAAATTCTCCTCCAAAGATGCAGCCTGTGATGCTCCGTCCAACACAAAAAAAATCGAACATTTACAGAACAAGCAAACAAAACCTGTTCATTTGTTCTTCTTGTTTTTTTTTTCCCATGTCTAGGTTCTCTAGTCAGTAATTGTGTTGTTGTGTATTGAATTGGGGTCATTGTCTTTATATTATCCTGTTAGTAGACGGCAGTGTGCCTAGAGGCTGAGAGGTAATGAGATAAACTTGCAGCAACCTATTGGCGATAGATTATTGAGGGGGAAAAAAACACAACACGACGACTACATTACATTTTATACTCAGCTGCTTCAGGAAAACATTGTACTTCAAAACATGTGTACTACAATTGTGCTTTATGCAACGGCCTTTCTTGTCGTACATGTTCTACTACTACGACAAGCTTCCTGGCTTTGTCCCTTATGTGTGTGCACAACTAATTGTATTCACAGTCTTATTTTAAAATCCCCAGTTGGCAGCTTCCAGGCATTGTGACACTCATTTCCCTCTCTTTCTCAGATTCAGGTCTGTCCATTGTCTGCTGTACCCAGACACTCCTTGGTGCCCCCGGCGACTCTAACACCCGTCCAGAGACAAAGAGGGAGGGACGACTTGATGGAGGAGGAAGAAAAAAAGTCCCACCGCTGTCCTCCTCTGACTCCTGAAGAATGAGAGAGTCAGACGTTAATGTTTTCCTCGCGGCAGTCCGACTGTAGACCGGCGTTTAGAAAGGAGGGTTGTTGTATCAGTTTGACACCTGACACCTTGTGAATAGTTGGTCTGAGTCCGAAAGCCAAAAAACTGCAACAAGAGCAGTAGACTAATGGTGAATGTTTTGGATGGATGAGAAACGGAGAGAGAATTTTTTACTAAACGTGAAGCCTGAGGTTAGATATGTTAGGACACCTCACCGTAGAGTCTGTCGGGCCTCTGCGTTGAGTTTGATGCTAACAATTGTTTGTAATTTTGAAACCTAAATGGTAGTTCTGATCAGCTGTAGCTTGTTTTTTTCTTTTGTTTGTTTGTTTGTTTTTTTTTTGGCCATAATTTTTTTTAGTTATAACATTGCAAAAGAGCCTGAGCAATGCTAGATGTTTGAATCGGCCGATATGAGTTATATACGTAGTGAAAAGATAGAATGATAGGGTAGGTTACTAACAAGTTTGCGAAATCCGTCGTTTATTATGTTTGCAGCGACTTATTTCGCAAACTTGTTAGTAACTTCCCACGAAGACACCACTCGACTCGACACCAGCTCTGCTGCGTGTGCTGCAGACAGTGCTGAGACTGTTCCAAAGAGTCTACGCTGCTCTGCTGGACCAACTATGAGAGGACACCATTTTTAAATTATTGAACTCACAAGTGTTGAATTTGTGAGCTCAAAAACACATTTTGTTGCATTTGGAGGAAGCGGACATGGATCTGCTGTCTCATCCCCATTCCCGTGCTAAGCTAAGCTAACAGACAACTTCATATTCAGGTTTTTCGTCCGCCTTTCCACATAAATGCAAAAGTGGAACAATATTGTCCTAAATAATACATCAGGACATGTGCCCATATGGTGTTTTCCTGAGACAGATAAGTGCTGGCAGGGCTTTTTGTCCCAGAGCTTCGTCAAAAACGGCTCAACAGGGTTTTGTTTTCATGAAAGTATCCTGACAACACATCGATACGCTCGCTATCGTTGTGACATATGATCGATTTGCGTGCTAATGGGCTGATATTATCATTCATGTAGCCGTGCCAAGGCATCTGTCAGGGATGGAGATGAGAATGATTTTTTTTTTTTTATGCAGGTTTATTGCTGAATCCCACCTACTGTGTCTTTTCTTATTTGTGTAGTAGTTCAGTCCACTCAGACAGACAGAAAACCCCAAACTGCCTCTGCTTAATGTAGCCTGATACTCTTTGTACATTATTCATCATTTCCTCTCTACTTTCTCGGCTGTGAAAGACTATTCTTTTAAATGTATACGGACATGTTTACCCAGTTTCCCACTCGGCTCCCTCGTGCTGCATGCTGTAGTTTTAACCAGCATAAGTTCAACACGCGGTTCTGTCAGGGCGAACAGATGAACCGAGCAACACAGAAGGAAGCATCGATCACTTGTCGTTTAGAATTTAGACTCCGAAGTTTTATCTCATCCGTGTTCAGTATTAACCTCTCTCTGAAGTATATACCACGACCGAGCACTTTGCTGTTTTATTTATGCTGTTCATCATTCGATAAAAGGACTTTAAAGGAACAGCGAGACATTTGGGGGATTATTTGCTTTGCTTGTTTGCGCCTGATGAAACAAACAAGGCGTAACGTGCTAATGAGAGGCGCTGTGGCTTCAGATTTACAGCACCAACATCAATCTAATCCTCAAACTCTCTGCAGGAGAGATTCCCCCTCAAATGTCAAACTATTCTTTTAATAAAAAATTCTGTGTGAACTACCATCATAACTCATCCATTAAAGGCTCTGATACAAAATGTTATTTTTTTTAAAAGAAGGTGATGCCACCTGTTTTTAATTCATGTAAATGGATGGATTATGATTATAACAGATTTTAAAACTGCTTTTAAAATGTTGTAGCAGTGGGTTTAAGAGATCCACTCTGAAGTTTTGTCGCGAAATGACTCACGTTGAGTCGTCTTATCTTTCCGTGCGTTGAAAGCAGTTTTTGCAATTGTGCTGCAAGTTGATGAAAGTTAAGTTAAACTCTGTCCCTCGTTACATGAATGTATGTGATGAACGGCTGCTTCCGAAGCGTACATGCTCTCTCCAGTATCTGGATTTTATGTAGACATTGTGGTTAATAAAAGCTCTTTTTAACCCAGTATGTGGATGTTTCTGTGTGAGACTGTGTGCTGCAGTACATTAGGGGATTTCAATGGGGTCGCAAAGGACACAGCTTTGACCTTTCACCTCTGCCTTTGTTTACGAGCCACCGCTGCACCCACAACCCCGCAAAATTCCACCCACACACACTCGAACACCAGCAGTCCTCTTATCTGATCGGGCCGCTCAGAAGGGCCTGCAGAGATAAAGGCAGAACGAAAAGATTAGCTGTGTGTGTGTGTGTGTGTGTGTGTGTGTGTGTGTGTGTGTGTGTGTGTGTGTGTGTGTGTGTGTGTGAGACACCCACAGATGTCGGGCTGTGTGGACCGTGGGGAGTACTTACACAAACAGGGACACAGTAGTGACTCTGGAATTACTCGGAGGTGTTACGTGCTGCTGAGTGGACAGCGACACCTGCTGGCTCCATGTGTTACTGCACACAGTAAGAAATCAGTGCATATATTTAAACTGAGTCGCAGCTCCTCGGCCTGAGTCACTCATTTGACTTTTACATTTACCTTTGGATATTTGTTAGTACTCGGGCCGGG